CCGGTACGGCACTGAGAGGGGATTGGGGGGAGCAGAGCAGGTTTGGGGGGATGCAGAGGGGATTGGGGGGAGCAGAGCAGGTTTGGGGTGGATTTGGGTACGTAAGGAGGGGTTTGGGGAGACTAAAAGGGGATTTGGGGGTGCAAGAAGGGGCTTCAGGGATTTTGGGGTGTATGGGGGAACTGGATGGGGATTTGGGCATAAGGAGGGGTTTGGGGGATTTTGAGGTGTCTGGGAGGGCGTTTGGGGGTGTAAGGAGTGGTTTGGGGGATTTTGGGGTGTCTGGGGGGGCTGGATGGGGATTTGGGCATAAGGAGGGGTTTGAGGGCATTTGGGGGGAACCAGAGGGGATTTTGGGGTGTAAGGGGGGTTTAGGGGGGATTTGGGGAGGGTTGGGGGGACTAGAGACGGTTTGGGGGAAACTTGATGGGATTTGGGGTAATTTGGAGGGGTTGGAGGTTTTAGGGTTCCCAAGTGTATTTTTTGGGGTCCCTGAGGTGTTTTGGGGTCCCGGGGTGTTTTTGGGGTCCCAGGTGTATATTTTGGGTTCCCAGGTGTAATTTTGGGGTTCCCGGGGTATTTTAGGGTTCCCAGGGTTATTTTAGGGTCCCCAGGGTGTTTTTTGGAGTCCCCAGGGTGTTTTTGGGTCCCCGGGGTGTTTTTGGGATCCCTGGGTGATTTTGGGTTCCCAGGGTTATTTTAGGGTCCCCAGGGTGTTTTTGGGTTCCCAGGGTTATTTTAGGGTCCCCAGGGTGTTTTTTGGAGTCCTCGGGGGGTTTTTGGGTTCCCAGGGTTATTTTAGGGTCCCCAGGGTTATTTTAGGGTCCCCGGGGTGTTTCTGGGTTCCGAGGGTTATTTTAGGGTCCCCGGGGTGTTTTTGGGTTCCCAGGGTTATTTTAGGGTCCCTGGGGTGTTTCTGGGTTCCCAGGGTTATTTTAGGGTCCCCGGGGTGTTTTTGGGGTCGGGGTGTGGCTCTGACCAGGCGCTTCTTGGGGCGGATCAGGGGCCGGTTGTGCCCGTTGAGGCGGTGGTAGAGCCCGCAGGCGTTGCACAGGTAGTGCCCGGTGCCGTCCCGGCGCCACAGCGGCGTTGCCGTGGCCCCGCAGTTCACGCACTCGCGCGCCTCTGCCGGCAAGGACCAGTATGGACCAGTGAGGACCAGTACGGACCAGCACAGATCATTATAGACCAGTACAGACCAGTACGGACCAGTACGGACCAGTGAGGACCAGTACGGACCGGTACAGATCATTATAGACCAGTACAGACCAGTACGGACCAGTACGGACCAGTGAGGACCAGTACAGACCAGTATGGACCAGTACAGATCATTATAGACCAGTACAGACCAGTACAGACCAGTACAGATCATTATAGACCAGTACAGACCAGTATGGACCAGTACAGACCATTACAGATCATTATAGACCAGTATGGACCAGTACAGACCACTACGGACCAGTGAGGACCAGTACAGACTGGTACAGATCATTATAGACCAGTACAGACCAGTACGGACCATTAGAGATCATTATATACCAGTATGGACCAGTATGGACCAGTA